GCTGGGGAATTCTGGGAGTTGAAGTCCACATGTCTTAAAGTTGCCGAGTTTGAGAAACACTGATTTAGCACTTGCATCATGAAATGAAGTTGGCATTAGATTTCAAATAGCATTTTAAAAATGACGTAACTGCATGAGACTGATTCTGAATTACATGTATAGGATTCTGGTGTCAATCCGATTGTGTCATCATCTGATTTACAGTGGAATCCTATACACGTAACTCAGAAGTAAGTCTCATTTGGTTTACTTAGACCTACTCTGTAGGATCGCAGCCTCAAATAGGATACATTAATTGACAGCAGATTAATAGAACAAGGAACCAGTTTGGTGTAGTGGTGAAGGCTCCAGGCTAGAAACCAGGAGGCTGTGAGTTCTAGTCCTGCCTTAGGCACGAAAGCCAGCTGGGTGATTTTGGGCCAGTCCCTCTCTCGCAGCCCTGGCAAACCGCTTCTGAAAAATGTCATCAAGAAAAGTGCATGGATGACTCAAAGGTCCGAAAACAAAAAATATATATAAAAAAAGAATGGACAGGGATAAATATTTACCTTCCATAAATTATATAGGATAAAAGAAAACGATTGAACGCTTTGGATGAGAAAATGAATTATATAAATCCAGTATCATTTAAAAGACGTTGCAGGAATTCCCCAGTCGGTTTTCAGTTTAGGGATTACACTATCAATAACGTGCTGGGTAAGGACGAAAAAGGAAGATTGAAATATTTCATCCCACTTTTGAGATGAAATGGAGACTCTTCTAAGGAAGTGCAATGAATATTAGAAATGACAAATCTCCATTAGCTCCCGAAGCACAAAATAATGGGGTTATTCACTGAGCCATTGAAGCGGATGCGGCTACATTAAATTAATTAATTTAATTCAGTTTCAACCCAACATTTTATAACGAAAATTTCCCAAGTTGGACACATAAAAAATAACATATTTAGAACAAAGCGTTGCCATATTAGAATAAAAATCAAACAGGATACTAAAAATAAGAGAGCTATCTGAAAGTTCAGGAAGACTGGATTTAAAAGCAGGATGTATTTGAGTACTTTAATTCAGTAATGACGGATAGAATTGGGGAACTGGAAAATAGGAATTAAAGTCTCCCCGAGACGAACTTGATTTTTAGTAACTATATAGACCAGTGTTTTTCAAACTTGGCAACTTTAAGACGTATGGACTTCAACTCCCAGAATTCCCTGG